GTAGTCCCCACATGGTATGAGCTTGACTAAGATAACGACGCCGGAGGATTTGGCTTACCTGAACCAAAGGGTATGAGTCCCTCCTTTGGCGTTTTGACTTTCCCTTCGTCTAGGAACCGCTCGGGTCGGAACTCCTGCGGTTCTTCCCAGTAGCGTGAGTCCATGTGGCATATTCCCGAACACCCGAACACCCACGACCCCTGAGGTACAGTGCATTTCGGTAATGGATTTATTTATGGCATTCTGTAGCATCTTTTTTTAAAACAGTCTCAGCCACAGCACAACCAGACCTACAACGAAAGGACATGGGGTACAGGTATGCTGGCTCATGCCTACTGCAACGGTGGGTAAAAAGGGTGAGGCAGATACTTGCCTTCGGAATGAAGTAGCCTGCCAGGTAAGTATCGGTCTGAGCTGCGCGTTGGACTCCGTTGTGAATCATGGACGACGCGCGAAGAACCTCCTGGATCGTCGCTTCGAGTAACGGCAGCCTGGAATGGGAACATTGCCGCAACATCATCATCATCATTTGGGAGCTAACGCCGCTCGCCAGGCTAGGGCTCGGCCCATCTCTAGCTCCTCACGACAGGTTTGATATCCCCCAAGCCACGACCTTCTTGGTCATCCCACAGGCCTCCTCCATCCAGGGTTGTCTCGGACATAGAAAAATTGGTGGGCAGGGTCATCCTGCAGGAATCGAGCCAAGTGGCCGTACAGCCTGAGTTGGCAATCACAAATTGAGCAAGTAACAGGTCTCATGGTGCAGCCGTTGATTGGACATATGGTCCCGCCAACTGTACCTAATGATCCGGCACAAGGATCTGTTATAAAAGGCATCAAGATGAGATTCCAAAGTGCAAGATAGCATCCAAGTTTCACTACCATATACTAAAACTTGCAGTATCAGGGCCTTGAAAACTCGTAGCTTGGTCCTTCTGCACAGGTACTAGCATCTCCAAATACTCTTATTGAGAGATTTCATGACCCTGCTGCCAGGCCAATCCATCTACTGACTTCCTGGTCTGACAGCCCAGAATCGTGAACTGCACTACCGAGGTATATAAAACTCTCTGTGACTTCGATGTTTTCACTGCAAACACGTACCAACTGCACAGGGTCTCCTAGTAGGTCCCCAAAATCCTGGATCTTGGTCTTAGTCCAGGAGATCTCTAGCCCTAGGGGCTTTGCTTCATTGCTAAATGGATCAAGAGCCGCCATTAGGGTTTCCAGAGATTCAGATAGAATGGCAAAATCATCAGCAAAGTTAAGGTTTGTAACCTTGATATTACCCAGAGTTGCTCTACAGTGACTTTGGACAGTAGCTCTACTCAATATCCAATCCATGTAAGTGTTGAAAAGTGTTGGTGCAAGAACACAGCCTTGCCTCACACCTGAACTAACAGGGAAGAAGCTTGACAATCCCCCACCACACTTTACAACACTTTCAGTGCCTGTATACAGGTTAGCTATTAATCCAACAATCCTTGTTGGAATTCCTCTCAGTCTTAGGATCTCCCAGAGTGATTCGCAATGCACCGTATCAAACGCTTTCTTGAGGTCGTTGAAAGCTGCGAGCAGCCCATGTCCGAACTCACGACGGCGCTGTACAATGACTTGAAGCGCCAGGATGAGGTCTATTGTGGACTTCTCAGGAGTGAATCCAGATTGCTCCAGCCTTTGGTGCCTCAGCAGGTGGTCTCTGATACGTCTCAGTATACCTTGCCTGGTATACTGAGTAGTGTAATACCTCGGTGATTGCTGCAGTCCCACCAATGGTACCAGTCTGCCAAATGGCAGACAGGACTACATGCAAACCCCTTGCCATAGGTTCTCCACCAGCCTTTAACAATTCAGCTGAGATGCCACAAACACCTGCTGCTTTACCACTCTTCAGCTTGGAGATAGCCCCCCTGACTTCAGTCAGGGAGGGTGGATCCTCGCTGATGGGTGGGTCTGGCAGAGGAATCTCAACATTACCCGCATCCATGTTAACTGTAGGTGGATCAACCTGATACAACTGTTCCAAATACTCAGCCCAACGCACACGCACCCCATCAGGATCTGAGATTATCTGGCGACTTGCTTGAGTGTGTGAACAATATGTAGCAAGACCGGATGGCAGATTCACACCTCGGTCCAAGCAAATGCCTTTCTCCTTGTGCAGGATGCAGGTTCTGCCTTCCTTTCTCTTTTCGCATAGGATAAACATCCGCCCTCCAAGGAAACGGCCGCATAAAAGGGCACGCGCCTAAGACGAGAGGGAGACACAGAGAGACGGCAGGCAGGCCACACAGGGTCCAGCTCCATTACCTCGTCCTCCACCCGGGGACACGGGGGTCTCATATCTACCTTCAGAAATAAACCAGCAAGTTAAGACCCCTTTCATTGACCGCCCCAAGACCCTCTCTGTTACACTTACATCTAGTGGCTTGTGGTCACTTACGCTTACAGAGTGGACTGCAGTCATCTGTGAGGAGGGCTTGGAGTTCAGCTTTCTCAG